TCCCCATCCCTGGAAGTGTTCAAAAAACAGGTAGATGTGGCACTCTGGGATATGGTTTAGTGGGCATGGTGGTGTTGGGTTGATGGTTGGACTGATGATCTTAGAGGTCCTTTCCAATCTTAATGATTCCTAGTTTTTACTTTCATTAAAAATAGTCCAGCCCCCAAGCCAGGAAACATGAAATTGCTACTCTACCCTTAATTGTTTTAGTGGTGGACTTGGTAGTGTAGGTGAATGGTTGGACTGGATGATCTTAAAGGTCTTTTCCAACCGGAACAATTCTATGATTCTATGATTTATGATTGCAGCCCTGCCAGTGGAGGCAGGAAGTATCCCCTGATGGGTGGGTGTGTGCTGGGGAAGGAAAGAGGGAGCTTCTGGGGCAAGTCCATCCAGATGCCACCCGCCAGGGAGGGTGGTGAGTTTGGGGAGGTGGTGAGCGCCTGAGGAGAGCCTGCTTTTCTCACTTTGGGTGGGCAACCTCCTCACCCTCCAGCGCAAGGTTCTGGGATGACTGAAGGACTGGGCAGCTCCAGCGCTGTCACCTCTCCTATGATATCCAGATGGTTTTGGTGCTTGTCTCTTTTCAGAACCAACTCAGGTCCGGCTGGTGAATGGCTCCAGCCGCTGCTCAGGGCGAGTCGAGGTCCACCACAACCAGCAGTGGGGGACGGTGTGCGATGACAGCTGGAACCTGAGTGATGCCGAGGTGGTCTGCCGGCAGCTGGGCTGCGGGCTGGCCGTGTCAGCCCCTGGCAGGGCTCTGTTTGGGCAAGGACACGGTCCCATCTGGCTGGACGACGTGAACTGCACGGGGATGGAAGGTGCCATCACTGAATGCAGCTTCAAGCCCTGGGGAGCCCATAACTGCAACCATGGTGAAGATGCGGGTGTCGTGTGCTCAGGTAAGCCTGGTCCGGGTCATGGCTTCAGGGAGAAGTTTTTCTGTAGGTACGCTCGCATCTAATTTCAGTTTGCTTCCCTCCCTGCACATGTTGTTTTCCTTTGGGTATAATGCCATTGCAAGCAACAGTCAAAAATGCTTGGGAGGTGAGGTAGCTCTGCTTCTGTAGGCATCATATCAATGGAATATCTGAATGCACTCCTGCCCGTTTGTGGTAGTCCTCTATCTGACACCTTAAACTGTCGGTTCTCAAGTGGCTTGCCATGTCCATGCACACCTGCTCTGAATGTTGAAGTGCCTGTGGTCAGAGGAGGCATTTGGCCATTGATGCTTGCCATGCATGGCTGCAGGCTTCTCCATCTCTATGTCCCAAGCTTCTTCTGGATCTCTAGAGGTAGTCCAAGATGAAAAGACATCCCCCCCATCCCTCCAGCTTGCAATGGGATGCCAGCCCTGTCTTACACCGGTGTGACTTCAGGGAATATTTGCAAGGAGCTGCAGTAGAGCAGAGCAAACAGAGAAACAGCATGGAAAGACTCTCCTCCTTGATGGAGCCAAGCCAGTCCAGCCTTAATTTAGTTAGAGTAAATAAATGCAAGTTTTTAGTGTCTTTCATTGTTAGATGTGTTCTCTGAGGTAGATGTAGTCACCCTAGCAGACCTCCAGAGCACGCTCATGGATTGGACATGGATGTCCAAGAGTCTTCTTGGTATTACCCAGGGGAAACACTCTCTGTGAGGCATCCCACAGTGTTTTTACCTTCTCCTGAATACAACCAGGTCTTTCTGTTGCTTCCAACTGAAGATGCTGATGTGGATGGGGGAAGCATGATTATGTAGTCGTACCTTGTACGATTGCACATCGTCACCAACACCAGCAGGGAGTCTGCTTCAGAGGGCTGAGGTGCACCATGCTGCCATTTATTCATTTGTGTCATTCCCCCTTTAGACCCTACGGAGCTACGGCTGGTGAATGGCCCAAATCGCTGCGCTGGGCGCCTCGAGGTGCTTCACAACTGGCAGTGGGGGTCCGTGTGTGACAACGGCTGGGACATGGAGGATGCCAAAGTGGTGTGCCGGCAGCTGGGCTGTGGTGCTCCAATCTCTGCTCCAGGCTGGGCCAGGTTTGGCAGGGGCTATGACCCCATCTGGCTGGAGACAGTCAGCTGCCAGGGGACGGAGGCTGCCCTTACCGAGTGCAGAGCCCAGGTGTGGGGCATCCACAACTGCCACCACGGGGAAGACGCCAGCGTGGTGTGCTCAGGTGACCCCCCCAGTGTGTTCCTTCTGCGTGTCCGAAGAAAGAGCGGTGCCACTACCAAGCCATAGCTCCCTTTCCTCCAGAGGGCAAGGGAATGATAATTCCCTTGATACTAATGATAATAATGGTAATAAGGGCAAGGGATGCAAGAGGGATCCCATCACTGCTGCTTCTCCCATGTACCCTGGCTCATTTTCAGCGCAAGTGGACAACCACTGAGCATCTCCCTGGTGTGAATGACCATGCTGGGTCCCACAGGAATCCCTGTTTTGTGAAGGGGTCATGCCAGGGAGCCAAGAGTAGAGGGGGCCATGGTCCTGCACAAGATCCCATGTCCAGGAACGTTTCCAGCAGCCCTTCCTGAAGGGTTCTTGGTGTCCTTCTTCATTCCAGACCCAATGGTGCTTCGGTTGGTGAACGGCCCCAGCCGCTGCTCGGGGAGGGTCGAGGTGCTTCATAACGAGCAGTGGGGGACGGTGTGTGACGATGGCTGGGACCTGCGCGATGCCGAGGTGGTGTGCTGGCAGCTGGGCTGCGGGGCGGCAGTCGCAGCCCCGGGCTCAGCTCGCTTTGGCCGGGGACGTGATGCCATCTGGCTGGATGAGGTGAACTGCACAGGGAGCGAGTCTGCCCTCTCCGAATGCGGGGCTGAGCCGAAAGGAGTTCACAAGTGCCACCATGGAGAGGATGCTGGTGTGGTGTGCTCAGGTAGCTGCTGTTCCTCTGCTGATGAGCTCCTGGGTAGCAACACTGCAGGAGCTCCAGGGCCAGTGTTCCTTGCTTATCTGTGATGATGTTCTTTCCGCATGGGGATCCTCAAATCTCAGAGTCAAGAGAAATGCTGAACATGTGGGCACTCATCCTCCATCTCACATCTAACACTTGCTTTCTACGTCACCAGGCGCACCACCGCAAGGCGACACCTCTCTATCTTTCCGTTTCAGACCCTACAGAGGTCCGGCTGGTGAACGGCTCGAATCGCTGCTCTGGGAGAGTTGAGGTGCTGCACAAGCAGCGATGGGGAAGCGTGTGCGACGACGGCTGGGACCTGGACGACGCAGCAGTGGTGTGCCAGCAGCTGGGCTGTGGGACAGCCGTAG